CCTTCGGATCTTGTCTCTGCCTGCACTCCGGCCCCCAGCGGCTACTGCCTGACCGCTTCACGCACACATGACATCAGCCGGAGAGAGGGAGAGACAGCTTAGTGACACATGGACTTACCGAGTTTGACATTTCATCGTCAAAAGAGGCAGTGTGCACTCTCCCCTCCCACCACCGCCATCACAATCACGGCTCTTTGTACAGGCACAGAGAGGACGACAAGGGCACGGGAGGGGGGGGAGGAGGGGAGGGACCCAGAGACAGATCACTAAAGTCTCAAAGCTGAAGCAAAAAAGATGAGGATAAGACGGGAAAAGCGTGGGCAAAAAAGGGCAGCGCACAAAAGAGAGAGAAAGTGAGAGACAGAGAGAGAGAGAGTGTGAGAGAGAGAGAGAGAGAGAAAGAGAGAGACAGCGAGAGAGAGAGAGAGAAAGAGAGAGACAGAGAGAGAGAAAGAGAGAGAGAGAGAGTGAGAGACAGAGAGAGAGAGAGAGAGAGAGAGATAGAGTGAGAGACAGAGAGAGAGGGGGAGAGAGAGAGTGATGGGATGTTATGCATGTACTTGCACAATGTGTTGTACATGAGTGTTTTTTGTGGTGACATGCGGATAACAGAGAAAAAAAAATGTTTGGATAAAATTCAAGTGAAGATGAAACCCTGACCCTAACCCTGACCCTAACAATGTGAAACTAATGTTTGACATTGATAATTGGCCCATAACTTATACAAATGGACTGGACTGAAAAAACAAAGGCTTGGCATAAGTCACTGTGCATGTAATGGGTCTATATCAATTTCACATTTTAATTGAATAACAGAAATGAATACATTTTTTAAAAATATTCCATTGTTTCTTCATGTAGTGCTTTTTCACAGACAGAGAAAGTCTCTTTACAATACCATGTATGATTCATTCACTACATAGTGCTTGCCTTGGGGCACACAGATGGCGCCACCAGCCCCTTCGACCACTCTCTCACTCACTCTCTCACTCACACACTCACTCACTCACTCACCAGATTCATTCTATGGTTCATGTTTTGTTTTGGGTAATGGGGGGAAATCCACTCAGACAAGGAGATGAATAAGCAAACTCAACACAGGCCTGAGCTGGGGTCAAGACCTTAGTGTTGAGCATAGACTGTATATTGACTCCCTAGCTCAATTACGCTCAATAGCAAAGTAAACTCTGCTTGCCAATTTGACCTTATATATCAATGGTTTAGGTCTATCTAAGATCCTGAGGTTTGATTCAGATATTGTATTTGTGAATCCAGATATGAAGCATATGGATTGACCAATCAGATGTCTTAATTTGCTGAGGAAATTAGCCCACATTAAGGCACATAGGTTAGCAAATTCCCATAAAAGGAAATTGGCTCCAGCTCACTTATTTTTAAATTGGCTTCTTCAGAATTTAGCAAACACTATGGCTGAATGCTCGGTCAGTCCACTCCTAACATATGTTCTATGGTTTTGAAGTAAGAACATTCACCACAGGATTGACAGCAGTGCACAGCAGTACATTTGGATACATTTTGTTAAACGCTATCCATAATTTAAGGCTTTTAATGTTATTTTTAATCTCTGAAATATTGGTCGATGTTGGATTTTGGAAGCTGCTTAAATCACTAGCATCACATCGGCTTGAAAAAGCTGGATCGGTGCATCTCTTCCAAACATCGGCCTCTGTAAGATGCAATTATACGAATAAACAGCCAAATTACCAACAGAATGTGCATCCAATGGTCCAAACTAATCTAAGGAAATCATACAATTGCACAGGTTTGGCAGCATGGCATTTAGTTGTCTAAAACTTAAAACAGACACGCAAATGGCAGCCACTCAGTATGATCAGAAATACAAACAGAGCCATCGGTGATTTAGATGTTGATAACTACACATGTCTTTTGTTCGCGCTGAATCAATGGCTTCTTCTGGTATTTATACTACAGCTGTCACTAGAAAGACAGTTCAAAGTCTCAGAGCTATTGGAAGAGAGGGTGAGGGAATCGCATGGGTAAGAAAAGAGCAGCGATGCGAGAAAAGGAGAAGGATAAAGAAATGACAGATAGATAAATATGACAGGGATAGCCAACGCAAGCACACACAGACACACAGTCACACACACACGCATACACGCACACACACACACAGAGTCAGTCATCAGTTCCACTCTTGCTGCTTTGAATGGCCTCTGGCAATGTGCAGGGGCCTCCCGAGCTCAACATGAAATCCAGCAACTATCTCAGCCTGATCTGTTTTAATCACCAGCAAGCAAGCGTCCAGCCATACTGGGCCTATTACACAAACAAACAAACATGCAAGAGCCCAAAGTAAGAAGTGCCAAGCCGCCACAGTCAGTGAGTGAGAACGCCAGCCACATTAATCAAAGCTCTTGTAACACTCCAGCCAAGTCACTCCTCGCCTGTCATTCCCAATACAACTACTGAGGGATAGGCCAAAACAATGATGTCGCTATGGGCTCAAGGCAAATGTAAAGACAATTTATTCCGCCGCTTCTAACCCAAAACGCAGTCTTGTTTGTGTGTGTTTTTCTCTGCCAAGAGTCATTGAGCTTGGCGTCGTAAAGATTCAGAAAGAGCCCCAAAATAAGCCTCATTGGTTTTACCGATCTGAACGGCAGAACGGTAAATCATACTTTATTGCTGCAAGTTTGAGACACGGGATTCATCCACTGTGAATTATTTTCTCATAAATACAGAGCGATGTGTCATGATTACAATAACTGCTTTTACTTTTCTTATATTTCTGCTGGTGCGATGCCCGAGTTGGCTCTCAACTGAACTGATTTCTGGACTGACTTTGAAACAATTATAATTAATAATTTCTATCAGTATAAATATTGCCATGGAACACTCTCTCATTGGACTACTGTAAGACTAGCCTGGCCATAGCCATCAGCACACTCCGCTCAATCATCATTTCACTGCATGTAACGTCTGGGTCTGGTCCCTGTGTCAGCGAATACAATCGGTCGTATTTCGACCGGCTACTCAGAGAGCGCAAAAGGCGGGTGTTGTAGGTCGGTGCCGAGCGGGCAGGTTGTAGTTTGGAAGTGGCAAAGAATGCGATAGTAAAGTAATCCGGTCTGGTTCAATCAAGAAATTGAAGCAGGAGCAAGAGGAATGTTTAGCAAATGTAATCGCTGGTCAAGATTGTGGCGCTACTCCCCACGGGCTCCGTTAGCAGCAAACGAGATGGCTAAAGCTAGACTAAATGCTAACAACACACTCAGGTCCACTACATACGTGACGGTAAACTCAGATCCAATCGTTTCAAAAGGAGTTAACCCCTCCCACCTGTTCACGGAGCTCAATGGAGCAAATTCAGACCTTAGTATGAAATGTAATTTGTACTATGGTGTGGTACAACCAGGCTACTCTAAGACTTGTCTTAAAGGGGATGTTAGCAACTTGTATTGTTCTTCCGGGTGGATCATCAAGACTATTGGTCCTTCCTATTGTCAATCATTCTGGTGATACATGCTCGTCAAATAAGATGGAGAGGGCAGTTCTTTCCTAAAATCTTCCTATATTCCTTTACTGTACATTGAATTTCATTTTAAAAGAATGTATATGGGGAACTGTATATTATGTTGTTTTTAACAATAATATATAAAAAATTGCCCCCTCCCCTTGGCATTACTATGACCATTAAGATTTGCTGGAGGACAATAGTTAAACCAATAACAAGGGACCTCAAGGAATTGAATTAGATTTGACCAATCAGGAAGCTGTGGGGGTGAGCATGGGCGGGTCTTAGCAGCGTTTGTCTTCAAAAAGATTCACTCTTCTTTCACATACACTTTTAAGACCCACTTTTATTCTCTGGCTTTTAATTCAGCATGAGTTGTTTGGTCCACTATGTTCTTTTATCTAATTTATTTAATTGATTCTACGTTTTTTTTTATTTTTTTATTTTTTATGTTTTGTCAGTAACAGTGAAGTCTGTTTGGGGTTTTTTGTGCACGTTTTTTTGATGTTTTTTCTGCCTTTCCTAGTGTACAGGACTTACTCTTACTCTATTCTCTTTTGTTAATGAATTGTGCTGTATGAATAAAGCAGATTTGTATTAGCATGGATACATATGCATTTAATTAAAAGTGGAAAACCAAACTGAACCACAAAGTCTACAGTAAAAGTGATGTGAAAGAATCAGATCACAGAGCAGCATTCTACATCTGTTTCCAATCATTATACAGTATATTTTGCAGCTATGGAAAGATCCAAATGAGTCACTGTTTGCCTCTTTGAGCTGAGTGTTGGTTGTCTTAGCGAGAATGGTGATCTCTACTTCACGTTTCCAACTAACTTTCCAACTTTAAAACATAGAACTCAAAACCAATAGGTAATAGTAAAATAAATACATAACTAATAATCCATCAGATTAGATTCATCCTAAACTTAAATATACTTATTTTCCTCAAAATTCCAACAGAAAAGAATATATATAATTATATACATGTATATATCAGACAGAGTTTCCTTTTCCAACTGAAGGTTAAAGGAGCGGTATGTAAAAAATCTGGCCAAAGGTTGTACAGCAATCACGATAAATATTCTGTAGTCCTCTCCCACTCTCCCTGGCTCAGGTTGCCAGATAAGCAGAAGAATCCAGCTGGGATCATAATAGCTGAATAGACAAGAGTTTTGACAACATGAAATCTATAAAACGAGGTTTGAAATCCTTGCTTTGTTTCTTGTTTTGTCATTCATGATTTGAGAATCATGACGGTACCCTTTTTAGTTCTGCAGTTTTATTTTACCGCAGACTTCAATAAAAAATCCCAAATCCCAAAAAACGCAATAATTTCCGTCCTTCCTCTTTGATAAAACCTGTTCACTACTTCAGTTTAGTTCACATTTCAGTCTGCTCGGCCTTGTGTGTGAAGTGTGCACCTGAATGGTAAATCTAACCTCTACGAGCCCCATAGTTCTATATGAAACAGTGGACAGAGTAGAGTAGATGTGGGTCTCACCTGCTCTCCAGAGTGCACCAGCCACAGTGTGCGTCTCCAGCTCCTAAACAGTCGCTGCAGCTCTGCCACTGCTCACACTGGGCCACCTTCACCCTCAGCAGCTGCATGAGACAAAAATGTAGATACACAACATTAGTATTATAGGACAAGTGAAAAAAACTAATTAAAGTGACATTTTAATTATGCATAATTATGCATATATTTAAATGATAATATTAATAATAATGATAACAACAATAATAATATATTTGATATGCAACTTACATTTCAAGGAAACCTCAAAGCGCTAAAAAAAAAGTGCTAAACATACTGTAAATAAGAAATGTACATGTAATAATTTTATACAGACAAAGTTGCAGTTTGTGTTAAAATATGAAGGTGAAGAAAGATAGATTTAAAAAGAAAAATACTTGATCTCGTTTGGTATTTTGTTTAATGCACTTATTTTTTGTTGTCTTTAGTCTGTGTTTGTATAAAGCTGGGGTACCTAACTTTCAAACAATGAAACTATGTAATACTATGTTAATATTTCCTGGCTACAAAACAATTTTATTCTATCTCTAAATTTCACAAGAATGTATTTTCAGCCTCGACCAATCCAATTCAAATCCAATTAATTTTCGTTTCGTTCAAAATTACAGCAGTATGCTCTCGGAGGAAGTTACAGAAACACAAAAAGCAGCAGATCCGAAACTATTAGCACATGAAGAAAAAACCTCATGGGTTTCCGAACACATAAAATTGAGATTCACGGTTCATCACAAAAAAAATTGCATCATTAACAACACACACATCTTTTTTATTAACTTCACTAAATCAAAGTATATTCTTGTAAGTTCGTCAGAATGTATTGTGGAGACAAAAATTAAGGCCTTACTAAAAATCTTAGTATTTAATCTCTGGGTGAGACATTACATTACAAATATGTTGCTACTTCTTTACTCAAATGTACAATTAAGAGTCACAATCTAGTTAAGGTAACGGTGAGAGTTAAGTTTAGGAACATTTCATTTAGTTGAGGTCAGGGTTGGCAAAAAGGTAAGGCTTTAAAATGAATGAAATACCAAGATTTTAGATGGTCCCTACAAACATGGTCAAACTGAAATACAATTGTATAAACATGTTGCACGTTTTTAAATATAATCACATTGACTGTGTTTTGTGAAAAGTAGAATGTCAAAATGGCCATATGCTCTTTAATAACTTCAGTAGTGCAGCATACATACAATACCCATAGCAAACAATCTATAAGCAGTCATGAGAGTATTTGTTGACGTCACGATGGAATGCTATCTGATATAAATAGTGAATGTGTATCACTCATTTAGACGGAAGATTATTTGTGGTGGCGCCAGCAGGAAAAAAAGCCAAAAAAGTAGTTACAACGCACACAATTTTCACAGTGTTTTTTAAAAGTCGTGACAAATGTTGGCCTCCGCATAAGTCTGTCACAGATCTTATAGATTAACGTGTAAGCAATAAAAGTGCAATTGTGCCAGATTTAAAGCCCAAATGAAAGCTTGCATTCACAGCGACTGAGAGAGCGGTCCTGAGGTGAAGCCACATCCAATCACAAGCATGACCCACACACTGCAGGCCCATGTGGTCTTGAGAATTTACGACTATACTGCTGATTCTAACTACTGTATAGAGGGGTCAAAAAGGCTGGAAAGATATAAAAAGACAAATTGACAATAACTTGGTGGTACAGAGTAAGTTTGTCTTTCTTTATTGGCTAATGACTCTGTTCAAAGTTTAATTTTAATGTTTTCTTTTGTTAAATCAGTCTGAGGTCTTGTTAATAGGCTTCCCATGATACAAATGATGTCAATAGGAAAAAATCTTGCAATGTTATTTGTAATACATACATAGAACATAGCATTAGAGGGTTGATTGTGGCATGTTCCAATGTCTGCTTCAGCTCAGGCCTATGAGAGATTAATACAAATAGTTTACTGGGAATATTCTGCTGTGATGCCGTCTAATGTAGGTTCAATATATCAGTGACAGTATGTAAGTGTTTTTTGGGGGGGGGTTATTATAAAATGGACCCTAGAGTCTGGAATAAAGAATATGGTTGTTGGAATTTAAGGGATCAGCAAATGGAAATAAATGATTTTATACCTATAGTCTCGCTGCATCTACAAAAATAGTCTCTGTTTGCATAAAGCTTAGCCTGGCCTTAGCCATCCGTACACTCCGCTCAGACGTCCCTGCATGTAACGTCTGGGTCTGGTCCCTGTGTTAGCGATTACAATCGGTTGAATTTCAACCAACCAATCAGCGAGCGCGGGAGGCAGGTGTTGTAGTTAGTTGTGGGTGACGTCAAGAGTTTGCGTCGAACGGGAAGGTTGTAGTTTGGCAATGGCAAAAAATGCGAGAATAAAGTAATCCGGTCCGGTCAAGAAATTGAAGCCGGAGCAAGAGGAATGTTTAGCAAATGTATGCGCTGGCAAAATTGTGGCGCTACTCCCCACGGGCTTCGTTAGCGGCAAAGGAGATGGCTAGGCTAAATGTAAATGCTAACGACAGACTCGGGCGCACTGCATACGTAAACTCAGATCCAATCGTTTCAATCTGCAAAAGGAGTTAAACCCTGCCACCTGTTAACAGAGTCAATGGAGCACCTCCAGACCTTAGTACGAAATGTAATTTGTACTATGGTGTGGTACGACCAGGCTACATAAAGCTGGTTTACCTAACTCTTTCTTAAAGTATGCTGAAGAAAACATGTTTATTTAAAAAAATGAAGACAGCATTATTTGTCACAATGTTTTACTATTACAAGATATGATTTAGGAGAAGAAAAAAGGTTAGGTACTCCAGCTTTAACTCAGCTTTAAACCAACTCTATCATCTGTGCAGTATTTCGGTAAGGAGTTTGTGCAGTAGATCAATGCCAGAGTGTGAGTGAGTGTACATTAATATTTCCCACCAGAGTGAAAACACGCAGAGCAGCGGTCACATTCTTACATGATTGGACGTCATCACATAGAGGAAGTTTCTGTCGCTGGGGTCAAAGCTCATGATGTGGTGGACCGGCTCCAGCGAGGGCAGCTTCAGGGTCCACTGATTGGCCAGCGTCAGGTTCGGGAGCAGAGTCAGCTGTGGGAAGAACAGACTGTGTTACATCTGTACTTTTACTTTGAAACTATATCAGCATAGATTACTTCAGACTAAGGCCAAGATAAGAAGAAACTGTATTGAAATGATATCACTTTTAACGTTGACAAATTCAGCTGCTAGTTTTTCTACTCAGTTGATCCACCTATACCACATCCACTACTGCTTCTGTTTAAAGATTTGAATAAATGTCTTACAGAGGCCAAAAATACATGCATGTGAAAATCAGAGATAGAATACACCTGTTTTGTAGCCAGCAATTAGTCACATAGATTTGCTTTACATAGTGCCACTGTTTGAAAGTTAGGTATCCCAGCTTTAAACAGAAAACAGAGACTAAAAACAGCAATAATAAAATGCATTAACTATGACACCAAGCTGATTAAGTAATTTTGTAGATGCAGCAAGAGTAAACGTATCAAATCCTTTAGAAGATTGTTCAAAAGTTCCTTTATTTCAGTAATTCAACTTAAATTGTGAAACCAATAATGACTCACTACATGCAAAGTGACATATCCCAAGGTTTGTTTGTTATAATTTTGATGATTTGATTCTCTGATCTGTGCTGGCGAATCAACAACTTGCTTCTTCTGACGGGGAATTTACACAGTAGGCGTAAACAGCGCGTACGCGTTTACTGCGCGCTCTCTGCGCGAAACATTTTTTTGGAGTATCTACACAGGCCGTGCGCGCAGGTCAGCGTCTTCTGATGCTCTCCCTGTGTAGTCTATGGAGCAGTGTAGAGGACAGTACAGAGGACTGATGTAGAGCAACACAAATCACATGCATGTGTTTGTCTCCATGGTCTCTGTGCGCTGGTTTGGCCAGACGCGAGACTTTATGAAAGAAAAAAAAACGATGTCCAGAATCACTGTAAAACCTGCTGCTCCTCCTGCTGATGTTTAGATACAAGTGCTGTGTGTGCGTATACTGCGATCTAGAGCCAAGGACCGCAAGAAAAATCATGTTTTACATGAGATTTCAATGGGAGACGCGTTGGTGCGCGCACAAAATTAGAAATCCATCCTAAATTAGAGCGCAGCTTCGCGTCATACGTCCGTCATACGTCCGTCATACGCGCGTATAACGCTAGAAGTGTAAATATCATCATAGGTTAACATGGAAAAAAGTTACGCGTGTATAACGTGTACGTGCTGTAACGCGTGATGTGTAAATTAGCAGTCACTACTACTGTTGTAACATACAAATAAATTGAATTAAATTGACTTAAATTTAATTAAATCAAATACATATATTAGCTTCATGTTGTAATTACAGAAGTAAATGGACTTTTGAACGATATTTTCTAATTTTCAAGTTTCACCTGTTCAGATGAAAAGTGAAAAAAATACTACGTACTTTGCCCTCGGATTGACTGGTGCCATTAACAATGTCTGAATTATCAAGAGCAGGCGCCAATTTCTTGCTTCATGTTCAAACAAAGAGTGATGAAATATGAGACATTTCCCAACACGACAAAAGGAAAGGGAAGTTTAGGCTGAAGGGCAATGCCACGCAACAACTTCAAATACAATTTTCTTTTACACATATAAAAAGACTTTGATGAATGCGTTTTATAAAATAATTAGTGAAAGCATTGCAGCAATAATTGATTTTTAACTTAACTACTGTTGATACCGATCTTGTGGTCAGCGGTCAATCCCTTTTCTGTGGCTAAAATCACTTGTTTTTTATCTACTCCTCTGTGTGCTGTTTTAACTGCCCCTTAGGGATGCAACAAGTTTTTTTTATGAATTTGTAAAGCAAAATTTTATGTACAGTAATATGTTTATGTGTAGAGATAAAAGGGACGGTATTTATGTTGAAGAATTTAGGAAAATAATATTAATACACAAACAAAATGTCTTATGTGTTTTTTTATTACTTTCAATGTTCATAAAAATGCAAAATATGTTTAAAACGAAGGGCATTTGTGGCAATTCTTCCATCGCTGTACATGCATGTTTGAAATATGTCCATACATTGAAACTTAATGATAATTTTAACCCCGTAACATTTTAAAATGACAAGGGACTCAAATATAGTCTAAATCATCAACAGTAAAACGAACAGTTCCCAAAGACGCGCTTTGTTGTCGCATGTATCACTAGCAGTTACAGATTCTTCGATAATTCAACCTTGTCAAATCTAAAATAGATTTTAGAAGAGCCTTTGTTCAAGCTCTGTGTCTAATCTGGTTCAGTCAAGCAGTCATTTATCTGCACCACGGCGTCTTACTCCACACAAAAACACACAAATACAAACGAGTACTGCTGACTGGGACTTCCTGTCACGCTCCTTGCAAACAAAGCTCTTATTTCTGCCATTGGGCGGCTCTCCCTCAATGGAGACTTAAGGGGAACTGGCAACAATGGATCTGAGTAGAATAATAGCAATAGTCAAATTACCCTGTTTCACAGAATCTCCCACACTGTGTCATGTATCAGTCACATCTGTTTGAGAGTTTGCTACTAGCCATAGGTCTCCTCATGGTTTTACCTATTTTACCCATGTATGTGACTGTGTGTGTGTATGTATGTTTGTGTGTTTGTGTGTACGTGTGTGGGTGTGTGTGTGTATGTGTGCGTGTGTGTGTGCGTGCATGTGTGTGTGTGTGCGTGTGTGTGTGTGCATGCGTGTGCGTGTGTGTGCTTGCGTGTGCATGTGTGTGTTCTTAATCATTTATGTGTTGCATTGTCTTTATGAAAAGCTCTTTATAAATACAATGTGATTAGTTGATATTTAATTTAATTTAAAGGGACAGTATGTAATATGGACACTTATTGGTCTAATAAAGTCATCATGATTACAATCCAACTTTTGTTGCCAGAATCCTCCAGTCTGTGACACATGTAGCTCTTAGGCTCAAAGCAGTACAAACGCTGCGTATTATGAATGCTATTTTGTTGTTGTTTGTGAATGTTGTTATAAAAATACCAGCTATATTTCACTTAACAAACTGGCCCCCAAAATGAGATCTCATTCTGATTGGATTATCTGCTTGAAAATTGTAAACATAAATATTGAGGACATCGTGTTGAGTGTATTTTGAATTGATAATCCACTTTAAAAGTTTGTACATATGACATCTGGGGACACATATAAAAGATACACACTGAATTTCTCCTACAGGCATCAATAAAGTATATCTATCTATCTATCTATCTATCTATCATCTACTGTATCTATTTCTATCATCTATCTATATCTATCATCTATCTATATCTATCATCTATCTATATCTATCATCTATCTATATCTATCTATCTATCTACTGTTTCTTTAAGACACTGTTTCATATAAATTAGCTTAGTCTTGGTTTATCAAGACTCAAGTTGTTCTCTGGCTCTTTACGCCTTTGTCCTTGTTAAATTCCACTTTAGTTCTGCTTTAGTCATTTACTGTCCTGGATTGACCCTTAATTAGTACAATTTAATTCCAGTTTAGTCCTAGTTTATCCATTGACTAGCTCTGTTGAAGTCCTGCCAAAAATATAATTATATCCTTTTCAATTGAGGCTTGTCATTTCTAATTTTTAATGATCAGTTTGGGTCTATTTAACCCTCTAAGGCATCAGAGTTTTGATGTGAAACAGAGAGAAAGGTGAAGCCTTGAAGCTGTAGAAGAGATCTTCTAGAAGAGCTTTAGAGAGCGCTTCTACAATCAATAACAGAAATACATAAATGGAATAATGAAACAAAAAAGCTCATGTAGCAATTATGTTACCTCAGCGCCTAAAGGGTTAAGAAGGAGGTCTACAGCTCATCATTTGTCAGACTTTGACGGGAAAAAGTACAGTGTTGGTTGTTATGGGACAAGGCCCAATTTCCACAAGATTGAGATGAGAATTTGACATTATTGATTTTGGTATCAGTCTCACTTTTGACAACAGCTCACAAACTATGAGGCCACATCTGCAGAGGACAACACACTACTGTTTAATACAATTCTATTACATTGTAGATACACTTTAACATTAGCTTTAGATTGTGAGATAAAAACCCAGTTCTCCATCACTTGAGTTTGTATCTTTTAGGCCCTGCCCCAGTCCTAAGCCCAGTTTTGTCACAAGTGTTTTATTCAAAACAGTTTCTTGCAGGGAACATTGACTTTTTTCCGTTTTCGGACATGTTTTAGTTGTGTTATTTACAAACACAAAGTTGTTTTAAGCAAATTTCATGCATGTTCGAGTTATTCATATCCTCACATATCTGCGTGCCACCATTGCTCTCCCCTATGTCCTCTGACCACCACACGTAGCTCCTCCAAATTGTATTTTCTAAAGCCTTTATATGAGGAGAATTCACTTGTTTCCCTGCCACTCCAACAAATAAGTGGGCCTATGAGGGGCAAAAGGACTAAGCTACAGGGTCATAGAACAGTATATCATATAATATTATAACAGAAAGATCAAATGACGTCCCCTTTAAATTTTAGATATAGACTTAGACTTATCTATCCATCAAACATTTTAAACCAAAATATGAGTCAGAAATTCAGTACATGGTCATCAGTGTCCACAACTAGTGAATTTGAAACGCATGTATTGCATTGTATTTTTCACAATTATGTTTTTTTTCATTGATATTACGAAATTAAAAACAGGGATGGAGTTTGAGCTGTCCCCTTAAACTCTCTCTGTGAAATGCCAAACTGTGCTATTTTTCTCAATCACAAATATTTGAGAATAATACATTATTGTAAGTTATAAGGTGGGGAAAAAACTGCAGTCGTTCTGAGAGTAACACCCCAGCTGTCTTTAATGCTGACTGGGATTTCCTGTCAGGCGCCCAGGGCTCACAAAGCTTTTATTTCTTTGATTTGTCTGGTTTCCCTTCAATGGAGACTTTAGATGGGGCTGACAGACTGAGCAGCATCTGTTTATGACCCTGGATAGACACACACACACACACAACTTATCTACACACACGTTATTGTTTGCTCAACCGGTGCAAACGCAAGGCTGAGTAAACCATTGACTT